GAGAAGACGATCGATCGACGTTCACGTTCCAGATCGCGCCATCCGACTATATCGGGCCTGCGTGTGGACACGCGAGGAATTCCAATTGCTCGTCCGCGAGACAGGGGACACACGCGCGACGCGTTCGACGAAGAAAGAAAGAGAGTCTCGAGGGTACGTCCTTCTTCGAGCGTCGATTCGATGAATCTCCCTGATAAGGCGTTCGTCGATAGCGATCGTAACGACGGATCTCCCGACGAATACAACGACGACAGCAACAACAACGACGACGACGACGATGACGACGACACGGGAGAGATCCGTACGCCGTACCGTTGCCACGGCGTGTGGCAGCGATTCGTATCTCGCGCAGTAGTAAATAATACCGTGTGTAAACGTGGTTACGCCGGTCGGGGGAGGTCCTCCTCCATGGAACAGCACATGCGCTCACAGAGAGTAATAAAGAACTTTTTTATGAATGAAACAACTCGGTCGGGCGGTTCCCCTCCTCGTCTCCGCTGTCGGTCGCCCCCCTCCTGCGCTCGCTCCGTCTCTCTCCGTTCACAGCCGCTTGGTGCACACACCGTCGACCTCCTCCTCTTCTTCCTCCTCTTCTTCTTCTTCTCTCTTTCTTATCTTCGGTACACGTCCTCGCGAGTAAAACGGGGCACGTTTCTGCCGTTCGTTCGTGGCCACATCAGCCAATCCGCGGTCCGCGCGGGAAACGATATTATTGCTGCACCACGAGGAATAGCGGTGGCAAGAAAGATGGAATCGGGCGAAACAAAGACGGTGCTAGACACACGCGATCGGGAGAGAGCGGTAGACACCGGCGGTAGTCGGATCAGTTTTCGCCGTCGCGTTTGTTCGCGCGCTTCGCTCGTTCGATTCCCTCTCGTCGTCTCGACGATTACGCGCGTCGCGCCACGCTGCTCTCTTCCGTCTTGCTCGCGCGAACGCGTGCGTGTCCGTGAGTTCGTTCGTAGCCAGCGACGGAGATATTCCGACCGGGCGAGACAGAGACACGCTGCCAGGCCGAAAGGAAAAAAAAACCACGCACCGAGTCGCGACGACTCGAACGAGAGAGGACGGTCGTCAAGGACAAACGCGAACACCGCGGATCAATTCGCGGAAACACTGAAATTCTCGGGCCGCTGATCTTCCTTTGTCTTCTTCGCTTGGTCGCGCGAATCGATCGACGACGCTCCCGGTGTTGTGGCACACCGATCGATCTCGAAATCCAGAAAATCGAATTGTTCGCGTAAAAAGCGCGGCACGGCCTGTTCGCCGACGACACTGATCGATTTCCACTGCGTTGTTCACTTGTTCTCACTATATACTGGCGATACCCCGATACTATGCGTGCGTTGCGAACACGAGGATCGGCTCTGCGTTGAATCGCGTAATACGTAGAGAACACCGGCGATCCGCACCTGACGGTGGATCGACCTCGACTGAACCGGCGATGGTCTGTGCGTTCGCGTGACTGGCCGTGGGGCGCGCGTCGCTTCCCTCGACTGCCGAACCTGATCGGCGGCGATCAGTCGATCCGGCCGGTTCTACGCCTCGCAGCTAACCGTTTCGTTGTGTATTGCGTGTGTGTGCGCGCGCGATATTGCACGAGCAAAGGCCGCGAACTAGCAACGCACGATGCTCTCGCGACGAATCGCGACGCTCAACTGCGGCGG